ATTTTTAGCGGGATATAAGTTGTTGGAGTGAGTCTATAGGTATATAAAGAGTGAATCTATAGGTGAAAGAAGAGAGCAACAAGGGTGAAAAAAAGCAGAAGAAACGAGAAAAAGGGAGGAAATAAGGTGAGAGAGGCGAAAGTATATACAAATAATATAGGAAGAAGAATATTCGCGGTAAATAAGATTATATTGGTAAGATAGGAAGATGGATCCATTAAGACGTTTGAATCAACAACGGAAAATAAGAAAGGAGAGGGAGGATTTAACAGAGGAAATGTTTTTTAAAGAGGAAGACTGGAAAAAGGAAAGAAATGAATTAAAAGAAAAAATAGAGAAATTAGAAAATAAAATGGAGTTTAAAGAGGAAGAATGGAAAACGGAAAGTAATAAATTGAAAGAAAAAATAGAGAAATTAGACGTGAGATTAGAGAAGTGCGATGAGCAACATTTGATGCAGTCAGAATTGGATAAGAATAATAGTGTCGCTTCTACTTCGATTACGCCTCAACTGCAAAGTATCCGACCAACCACTAGTAGAACGGAGTCTACTCGAGATAACGACGATGACAACTTGACGGCCGGAACTTCTGGCACATCCGAAAATGCACAATGCCAGAATTCTAATGTTTCTAAGCCGAGTGGATTAAACAAGCCAAATGTCGCAAATACAGTATCGAACATTAAGGAAAATGATGCTTTTCCAGTTACTTCGGATGATGTCAACAGGTCAGTAACCAAATTAGATCAGTCTGCGCCTGGAAACTCTCGCAACGTGAACAATACATCTAATACTAGTAATGATAACAATGATGAGATTGTTATGTGTAAATGTCGGAAACCTGTGACCACATATGTAACTAAAAAAGAAGGACCAAATCAAGGTGAGTGGCCAACTGCATATAAATGCAATTTGTCGCGTAAGTCGTTTTCGAATATAACATTCGTAATTCCAGGACGTGCGTTTTACAAATGCGCTAAACGGCGGGAAGATCCATACCGTTGCAACTTTTTCTTGTGGGCTTGATAACAGCGCCGATATCTGGCGAATGAAAGGTAAAGAATTTTTTTATTATAATCTTTTCTTTTCCTTCTGTCTTTCTTTTTTTTAATAGTAACAATTTTATTGTTTTCAATAATATTCAATATTATATATATTCAAGTTACATGTAATATATTTTTTTAATTTTGTACTATTCTTTGACAGGTCATACGAGGACTAAATGTCCAGATAGGGTGATGGACTGACAAATGAATTTTTTCCAAATAATATTAATAAATAATGTACAGTTTATAACAATTAGAGTTGTAAAAAGCTTAATTAGAACGCAGCAGTATCAATACGGCTTTTATATCTGTAAGACTTGACTTCTGCCTTATGAAACGATAACAGATTTCCGTTTGAACAAAGCGATTCGATAATTAATTAATACTATTTTATAGTTATTGTATTCTAATAAGTAACGCAAGTTACAGTGTTTAATATAATAAACGACAACTCATTTGTTATGAGAAAATTTTTCAATCTCTAATTCTTCTGCAAGTGAACTGTTTATGTTAACTATAGAAAAATTAACATTATTGTCAATAATTATCATTATATATGCTTCTATTAGCGTTCTGCTAAAAAATGATACATTTATTTCAGTAATATTTAAATACTATAGGAAACTTTCCAGCAAGAAACACGCACATATCGACAGGAACCATTCTGTCTTTTACAGATATTAAGAAAAACAAAAACAGGGTGACTTTGATATTCCTGTTAAAAAAACATCCATAGAAAACGATAAAAACAAACGATATAATCGTTTTTAATCATAGTTATGAACTACGATCGATACAATAAAACACGATAAATTATATGGCAGATCCTATCAGTTTCTATCGTTTTCTATCGATTTTTTTAACAGGTAAGTAACTCTTGCTGAAAAGCATCCACTGTTTGGTTATGACAATGTGACTTGATGTGACCAAGTATGTACAAATGGCTATATCCTCTCTTGAGTCATTTGACTTTACTTTAATTTTTGAAGCTAGTGCAGTAGGTATTTTCATTATGTATGTTTTCTTACATCATGAGTATTTTCACAAATATATTTCTTTACACTTATTATTTTGT